GACATTATAATGTTATACAAACAAAAAAAAATATTCAACAAAACAAATCAAATATATTCATAGACCAAAATCATCATTAGTTATAAAACGCAACCATCCAATTTTAATTTGAACTACCTACTTAACAATAGAATATGGTGAAGAATTTTTCTATCAACAACTACTTCTAAACCATCCATTTCGCTCAGAAAATGAGATAAAACAAAAGTACTCAACTTATCGTGAGCATTTTATTATATGTTTTAATGATCAATACCAACAAATTCAACAAATCAAAAATTACCAACACTCAACCCGCTCTTTACAAATGATAAATGCGTATGAAAAAATGATCGCAAGCTTAATTCACTCGATTCCCCAAAATGACGCTGCAAATATATGTAACATTCAACTTCTGAACCTACAAAAATTTCCTATTAATATTCCAAAAACTGCTCCTATTACTTTGCCTCATGACCAATACGCAATTCTAAACAAGTTAAATTCAACATTAGGTCCACAAAATGCAAACAAATAGCCTTATTTTTTCATTACAGGTCCAGCAGGAACAGGAAAATCCTATGTTATAAACTTATTTATTAACAAACTTCTTACAAAAAATATCAAATATCTATTACTTGCATCAACTGGCGTAGCTGCAAATAATATCAGTGGTAAAACAATACATTCTGCCCTTAATATCACAAATTCTAACATATTACAAACATCAATCTTCCAATCTAAGGAAAAATTAAAAGAACTACTACAAATTCAAACAATAATTATAGATGAAATATCGATGGTTTCTAGTACACTATTTACTTTCATATCAGATACATTTGCCTGTATACATAAAAACACTTTAGCATTTGGTGGTATTAACGTCATAATTTCAGGTAACTTAGCACAATTACCACCAATTAATGGAATGCTTGTATTTCAATCACCTGTATGGAAACTTTTTCACCTTTATTTTTAACTACACCTCATCGACAAAACCAAGACCTCCAATTTTTCAACATCCTTCAAAAAATTCGCATAGGAAAAATCTCAAACAATTCATGGAAAATTTTACAAAAAAAACTTTCAACAACCTGCACTAACTATAATATTAATACAACAAACATAGTTGGCCACCGTCAACTTGCCAATAACATAAATAAGATTATTTGTAACCTTCTTCTAACTACAAATATCGAAATAGATTCGTTAGCAATTGACACAATTAATGGAACCCAATACCAACCAATCAAACAAAAGATCTATTTAAGCACAAGACAAACCTACCGTCACGCCTTTATATAAAAATAGGCTCAAGAGTAATGTTCTTAAATAACACTATATTTTCAGCTGGAATTTGCAATGGAACAATTGGCATTGTACGAGAAATATATAATGATAATATTACTGTTGTATTCCCTGTACCTGATGGTATAGTTGATACAGTAATAAGCAAAACAACTTTCTACTTTACTCTAAATGGTGCACGCGCATCTAGAACACAATACCCACTCCAAAATGCTTTTGCGCTTACGGTTCACAAATCACAGGGCTTAACCCTACCTCATGCAACAATCTGGTTAGACGAACAAATTTTTTCCTATGGTCAAGCATATGTGGCAATAAGTCGCACAAAATCATTATCAACATTAAATATCCGTGCACTTGACAAATCTGTAATACGTGCAGACCCCTTAGTATTAGAAGAATACGATCGATTGTGGAATAATTCACAGCAATTAGGTTTTAAATTTTATAATACAAAATCATTTCTAAAACAAATAATCTTAAACTTTCAAAATTTTAACCTACAACAACTCT